AAAAAAAAAAAAGAGTTTTCTTGGCTGTAATCCAGAGGCATCTCAGAAGACAGGCCTGGTGATCTTGTACTAAACTGTCACAGTCCATATCACAAATCATGTGGAACATACACCACACCAGAGGTGGCCGTGAGTCTGTATGAGCCAAATGACAACTAACAACAATCTTTATGGAAGCAGATCACCACCAGGCCATTCCTTTTTTTGTTTTTGCAGTGTTTCCTCCCCTCTAACCCCTGGTAACCAACAAAGAAAGTTTCCTTTCATATATAAACTCACCAGGCTTTTCTTTTGTGGTGTCACTGGGTAGATTCAAACCACCAACCCTGGAGTTTAATAGTTTAAAGCAAGCCGTTTGTGCCACCCAGGGACCTTAAAACTGCCACACAGAAAGCATAGGTGTAGAATGAAAAATGGTAAAAAAAAATTCCCATTCAGTGAACCTGAAAAATAAAAATTACAAACACACATAACCGGAGCTAAATAACTTTAAAGAATTTTCTTGCAATAAGACTTTTTTTTTTTTTTTTTTAGTGACTGGTATGAATCCTTTGTCTCCTTATTTAAATGTGGATCCTCGATACCTTGTGCAGGTAAGATTAAAACTAGTCTTCTTACGATTTTCATGGTTTGCTGCTATATTTTACCATTTAAAAGTACAGGTGGTCCTATAATATATTCTAGTTATAATGAACAACACTTAAGACTATCTACTTTGTGAAGTTGTTTTTTTTTTTTTGTAAATCTTATGGTTGGTAATACATGCAGTCCATAATTTGCTGATGTTATCATTCTTAGATGTTTACTCACAGATGTTCAGTATTATGATTGTTTTTTTTTTAAATACATTTTATTGAAATATAATTTATGTACAGTGAAATACACAAAACTGAAGTGATATGGGTCAATGGTTTTTTTTTTTTTTTTTTTGCATTGTTCCTACCCCTGGTAACCAACAAAGAAAGTTTCCTTCCATATTAAACCTTTCCTTGACTTTTTCCAGTAATAAAGTAATACTATATTTGTCCTTCTGTGATCGACTTATTTCACTCAGCATAATGTCCTCCAAGTTCATCCATGTTATGTGGTGTTTTGCAGATTCTACATTATTCTTTAGTGTCGCGTAGTATTCCATCGTGTGCACCATTGTTTGGTTATCCATTCTTCTGTTGATGGATTATGATTCAGTTTTATAACTGTTTAAAACTGCTGATTTTATACATTTAATAAATAAAATAATGAAAAGCAATAATAATGAAAACTGTACTTTTAAAATAAGATTATTATATGTACATCAGAACTGACTTAGGACAGAGTCCTCAGAACAGAGCCCCATCACAAGTCAGGGACTACCTGTACTGCCAGGTATTTATGATGACTTACAGAGATGCTAAGTCTCTGGTCTCCATCCCCCCTTTTCTCAGAAGCTCTATAGAGTTGGCTTGCATCTCTACCTGAAATCAGTTAATTAACTCTCTTTACAGGCTATTGTTTTAAAACAAATAAAGAATTTAAAAGAATTGTTCTGACCTCCTCTAATCCCACAAGAGCAAGGCAGAATCACCATCAATAGCACAAAGCCTATTACTGCAAGGCCAGACATGCTGCCTCCCTCCAGCCCTTTCACCAACCATTCCTCCCAAAGCACCCACCACCTCTCTCCTGGGTTCGATAATTCGCTCCAGTGGCCACACAGAACTCAAAGATTATGGGGTTTATTAGGGAGCACCAGGCTACAATTGAAGTTCAGGAAAAATGCTCAGTCTCTCTCCCCGCCCACCATCTCTCAGCCAAGTCTCTCACAGTCTCTCCCCCACAGTGCATGTCCCTCATTGTCTTACTCAGCAACGCGTGTCTCTTGCGTCTCTTTCCCAGCAGCGCGTGTCTCTGTCAGCAGCACGTCTTCCTCAACCAGCAGTCAGAGAGAGTTCTGCCTCTATGAGGCCTCCTTTTGAGCCCAGCGGGGTGCTCAAACTAGCCAATCACAGCAGCAGAACTCTAAGCACTTGAGAGAGAGTGGGCACCTCCCAGAACATTGTTTTGTGCCACTCCCAACAGAAATACTCCAGGTGGACAACTTCAGCAATCAGGAGCTCCTCAGTTGCTCATAGTAAATCCCACCTTGGAGTTTACAAAGACTTACGGGTAGAAAAGCCACAGTAAGTAATTTACTGCACCACAAATAGATACTGGGATAAGTAGTTATAAAGTTATAAGAAAGTATTTATGTTAAGTTAAAAGTAAATGAGAATGTAATGCCCAGGAGTCTATTATATTACTCCTAAGTCTATAAAAATAAGAGTAGTCTGATGAACACAAGCATTTGAAATTGGAGTTCCATATACATTTTAAGGTTTCCATTTGCCTCACCATTCTGACCTGCTTGTTTAGAGATTTTGTTTTTCTTTTCTGGTTATTCAGTTGGAAAAGATCCTGAATCACACAAGTACAGTTACAAATGGCAAGTTTTTTAAACTTAGTTTGTAATATCAGGGTACTATGAGAAGCTTCAGAGAGTAACAGTTGGATATCTCAGGAATGCAAGGTTGGTTTAACATAAAAATCAATGTTCTTTACTATACCATTATATAATAAAGGACAAAAACCACGTGATATCTTAGTAGATAGAGGAAAAGCATTTGACAAAATCCAACACTACTTCTTGATAAAAACACTCAATAAACTAGAAATAGAAGGGAACTTCCTCAACCTGATAAAGGGCATCTATGAAAAATCCAAAGCTAAAATACTTAATGGTGAAAGACTGAATTCTTACCCCCTAAGATCAGGAACAGAATAAGGATGTTCACACTCTTTACTTCTGTTCAGCATTATACTGGAGGTCCTAACCAGGGCAGTTAGACAAGAGAATGAAATCAAAAGTTTCAGATCAAAAAAGAAGAAGTAAAATTATCTTTAATTTGCATGTGACATGATCTGTTGTTAGGTGGTTGTTAGGTGCCATCGAGTCACCTCCAATTCATAGGAACCCTGTTCACAACAGAACGAAACACTGCCCAGTCCTGTGCTGGCCTCACGATCCTTGCTGTACCTGAGCCCATCATTGCAGCCACTGTGCCTATCTTGTTAAGGGCCTTCCCTTTTTTTGTTGACCTGCCACTTCTTCAGGGAATGGGCCCTTCTGACAACATGACCAAACTAGCCGAGACAAAGTCTGGCTGTTCTTGCTTCCAAGGAGCATTCTAGCTACATTTCTTCCAGGACAGATTTGTAAGTTCTTTTAGCAGTCTATGGTAACTCTCAGTATTCTTCATCAGCACCACAACTCAGAAGCATCAACTCTTCCTTGGTGTTCCTTATTCATTTTCCAGTTCTCACATGCATAAAAGGTGATTGAAAATACCATGGCTTGGCTTAGGTGCACCTTAGTCTTCAAGGAGACATCTTTGCTCTTTGTCACTTTAAAGAGGTTGTTTGCAGCAGATTTGTCTGATGTCTTGACTACTGCTTCCATTGGTGTTGATTGTAGAACCAGGTAGTATGAAGTCTTTGACAACTTCAATCTTTTCTCTATTTATTGTAATGCTGCTTATTGGTCCAATTGTGAGGACTTTCGTTTTCTTTATATTGAGGTGTAATCCGTACTGCAGATTGTAGGCTTTAACCTTCATCAGTAAGTGCATCAAGTCATCCTCTCTTTTATTTAAAAAAAATCATAAAGAAATCGTAAACAGGGTATGAGATTAATATGTATAACAACTACATTTCTATGAATTCTCTGAAAATAAAATTAAGGAAACAATTTCATCTACAGTAACATCAGAAAGAATTAAGTACTTATGGATATTAAACATAAGTGTAAAACTTAATATTGAAAAGTGTAAACCATTGTTGAAAGAAATTAAAGAAAACCTAAATATAAATGGAAAGAATATATTCTATATTCTTGGAAGATTCAATATTGTTAAAAAGGCACTACTCTCGAAATTGAGCTACAGATTCAAGCAGTCCCTATCAATATTTCTACACACACACTTGTATGTGAATGTTCATAGTAGCATTATTCATAATAAAAAGTAGAAACCAAAATGTAGTAGATCCATACTATGGAATATTATCTGACAGTGAAAAGGAATGAAATAAAAATACCTGCCACAATATGGTTGAACCTTGAAACATGATAGGTGAAAGAAGCTAGTCACAAAGGATCACTTACTGTTAGGACTCAATTTATATGAAATGTCTAGAATGGGCAAAAAAAGTAGATTAATGGTTGCCTAAGTTGGGAGTAAATGGAAATTGACTACTACTAATTGCACTAAGGAAAATGCATACTGTGGCGGCTTGAGTGTTGCTGTGAGGCTGGAAGCTGTGCCACCAGTATTTCAAATACCAGCAGGGTCACCCATGGTAGACAGATTTCAGTGGAACTTCCAGACTAAGACAGATTAAGAAGAGGGGAGGGGCCATCCCCTTCTCAAACAATTGGTCAGTGAAAACCTTAAAAATAGCAATGAAACACTGTCTGATGTAATACTGGAAAGCTTTATCAATAGCTGTGGAACTTTGTCCAATATAGTGCCAGAAGATGAGCCTCTCAGGTCGGAAAGAACTCAAAATATGACTGGGGAAGAGTTGCCTCCTCAAAGAGAGTCAACTTCATGACGTGGATGGAGTAAAGCTGTTGGGACTGCCATTTGCTGATGTGGCACGACTCAGAATGGGAAAAAGCAGCTGCAAACATCCATTAATAATTGGAACATGGAATGTACAAAGTATGAATCTAGGTGCGGTGTAGTAAATTACTTAGTGTGGCTTTTCTACCCATAAGTCTTTGTAAACTCCAAGGTGGGAATTGCTATTAGCAACTGAGGAGATCCTGGTTTTAAAGTCGCCCACCTGGGTTATTTCTGTTGGACGTGGCACAATACAATGTTCTGGGAGGTTCCCACTCTCTCTCATGT